GGTGAAGAGGACATGGTACATGGGGAAGGGATTTATGTTTAAGTTGGAGCAGAGTCAGAGAACGGGAGATCAATACTGAATGGGGGGGGGGGGGGGGGGGGGAGTTAGAGATTGATGTCTATGGGAGCTGTATGTGAAAATATAGATGTCGGTGGTAAGGCGGGTATTTCATGGTAGAGAGTTGGTCCTGCAGGCAAGTAAAATCTATCTTTAGGAAAGGTGGGTGACCGTGTATTTTTATTACGAGTGTATGTAGTCACAGTGCTGACTGGTGGACATAAGAAATTAAAGCAGTATTAAACCCAAAAATGTAATATATTGCAGCTTACCAATAATTAAATGTGGTGACTGCATTAGTATTCATTCTTAGGCTTTTTTCCCCCCTGTTTTCCACCTGGTATTCTTTATTAGAGTGCCTTCACTCTGGATGAAGGAGCATGGGGGGCACAGCAAAGCATTGTCAGTCGGGTGGAGGGGAAGGTGGGGGTCTTAGATGTACTAACAAAATTGAAGCCAAACTCTAGCTCACACTACAGTTACAGCAACAGGTGTTTTTTTTTGTTTTGTTTTTTTCTTTTGGGATAAAGGTTTTACATGGATAAATAAAAGCTGATAATCGTAAGCACCCCTGTCAGTGCTAAATGGTTTGTTGCAACCACATAACTGATACATTTGCATGACATCTTGTTTTTTTTTAAAAAACAACAGACTTATTGGCTGGATCACCAGGTGAAAATAGTAGAAAACCTAAAAAAGAAAAACAAATGCAGCCATCACATCTAAGACTTGGTAAGCTGCAATGTAATAAATGTTTGCTTTTAGGTTTAATACTGCTTTAAGTTGGAGTTGTACAGGAAGGGGACAGTCACCAGTATGGGAATGCTACAAAAAGGAAACTGATCCCTCCAGGGTTAAAGCTGCGTTCCCGGTATGGCAGTTTTTACATAGTTACATTGTTCCAGCTTGGATCACTGTAAGTATACAAGTGCCGTACCTGTGGGGTCCCTCTAGAAGCTGGAAATCACTGTATAGGCACCAGTGTCCAGGTCTTGTGCCAAGTGGCTGCCCTACTGCATTGTGAACACAGGATGTCACGCACATGGAACAGGCACCATTCAGGGAACACTTTGAATACAAAGCTTTCTCTGATTGGATGAGGTGAAGATCGTGACATCACCACCCTGCCTCTACACCTTGTCCAATCAGAGAATGCTTTGCATTCAATGAGAAAATGCACAGCGTTCTCTGAATGGCAGAAAGTTGGAAAATTGCCAAACATGGAATTCAGCTTTAATGCAAATAGTGTCCCGATCAGTCACTGAGGGGTTAAAGCACAATTAAGCCTGATGTTTTTTGCCTGGTGTGCAGTCAGTGAGCATAAAAAGTGGAGACTGACTGCTGCATTTTATTGCTGCTTTGTGTGCGTGATTATTTGTAGTAAGCTGCGCTGTGCTGGCAGGATGATGGAAAGCCAGGAGCATGAGCATTGTGGAGAGCAGCCCTGTGCAGGGTGCATATCAGAGTGCAGTGTGCCACAGCCTGGCTTTCCATCATATTACTAGGATAGGGCAGCTCAGTACATTTATAAACACACAGGGTAGTTAAAAAACAAAAAAATTTAAAAAAAGGAACCGGTCATACTAGACAAATGTCCATCCAGTTCAACCAAAAAAACTGTTATAATCCTACAGCCACAGTTGATCCAGAGGAAGGAAAAAAATCCAGCAAAGCATGACCCAGTTTGCTCCTGCAGGGAAAAAAATTCCTTCCTGATCCCCCGAGAGGCAATCAGATATTCCCTGGATCAACTTTTACCTATAAATGTTATATCCAGTTATATTCTGTGTATCTAGCGAAGAATCCAGGACTTTTTTAATGCAATCCACTGAGATGGCCAGAACCAACTCTTGAGGGAGTCTATTCCACATTTTCACAGCTCTTACTGTGAAGAAACCTTTCCGTATTTGGAGATTACATTTCTTTTCCTCCAGATGTAAAGAGTGCCCCCTTGTCCTCTGTGATGACCTCAGGGTGAATAACTACACCGAGTTCACTATATGAGCCACTGATGTATTTATACATTTTTGTTATAGAGCTGTTATTCAGCTTGACTGCATAATGTGTAAAAAAAAAAAAAAAAAAAAAAAAAAAAAAAGTTGGGCTTCTATTGGACTTTTAATTCACACGAGTGGGTAAATTTTAAATTTTTTTTGTTTTTTTGCAGATTTATTCCTCCGTGAAACTGCCTGTGCATCTGTTCAAATAGAGGCAACATTGAATGTGATTAGGCTCTTTTCTTTCCCAGTTGAATATTATTCATTCTAAATAAAGTGGTTTGGGAAAATACCACATTATGGCCACTAGATGGAGCTGACAAAGTAAATACATTTGTTGGGCTATTCTCATCAGTTCCATCTAGTGGCCATAATGCAGTATATTCCTGATTCACTCTACTCTATATTAATAAATAACATTCGACCTGGAGAGGAAATTAGCCTAGCTAACATTTGATTTTGCCACCATTTGCACAGAATGAATATTTATCTATACATATCCACTGCTTAACCTGTGCCTGCCAATGCCACCCTGCGCTTTGAGATTTCAGACACCAGGAGGCAAAGGCGGGCATGTGACATAAGTGATTGGCTGTCACAGTGGTCACATGATTGGAAAGCTGCAGATCACAAGTAGAGATCGCTAGCTTTCCATTACCCGCCAGTAACTGTGCCTGCAGCATGCAGTTGCTGGCTTGTCATTGGTTTCAACAGGCTGCCTACACAGAGCACCTGTGCATCCCAGCGTACAGATCAACACAAGGCGTTCCCCTGCACCACAGTGTCCCCACTATAGTAAAGGGCTGAGCTCCTTTCCCAAAACAAACATCAGCTGCTGACACCATCGTCGTCGTCCTCAATCAATCCTGCAGATGGCAGTACACACCCAGGGGTCCATGTACAGCTCCAGAAATCCACAAATCTGCCCCCTTCCCCCCCCGGGCATGGGCAGTCTGCCCACTCTTGCAGCTCAGTGTTTTTTGTGAGGGTAACCCCAGGTTCACACCTAGGCGGTTTCCAGAAACGCACAGCAGTCCATTTAACATGATTTCCTATGGGACACATTCACATTTCAATATTTTCACCCGGTGCGTTTTTGGAAAGGGTCAGGGACTATTTTGAATGCAAAAAGTAGCATTTTTGGTTCTATAGACTTCAATGGAAACGCTGCAGGAAAGCATGTAGTGCATTTTTACTGCGGTACGCGTTTTAAATCTGCCTAGCAACAAGAAAAAAATTGAAAAAAAACGCTGCAAAAACTCAAACGCAATGCAGAAACGGGTCAAATGTAAACTGCATAGGTGTGAACCTCGCCTAAGGGTTGGTTGACACCGGAATGTGGTGCGGCAAAGATGCGTTCTTTTGTGAACGTTCCCCACATTGAATGTGAATGCGCTGCCCTTGCTAGATGGGCGTGGTCACCATTGTTAATGTCCACCCATCACCCATCTCATAAAAGCATCACATTGGTGGCCACCACACCCCATAGCGCCACGTACCATCCAGTTTGCTGTGGCTCCTCGCAGATGTAGCACTTACTTTTTCTGCGTTCCTGTGCCTTTGGCAGCGCATTCAAATGAGTAGTCTGTCAGAACTAGAACGCATGCACTGTGCAGGAATGCGCGCTCAAATGTGGGCTGGACCTGCAAGAAGAGCAGATTGTGCGGGGGGGGGGGGGGAGGAGAAGGGTAGGGGGTGCTCATTCATACACTTTCTGAAGCTGCACTTGTGGCACAGGAGGTGTACTGCCATCTACAGGATGAATTGGGGAACACGACGGTATCAGCAGCTGAAAGGGGAGGAGCATTTCTTTTGGGGCGGAGCTCAGTATTTTACTATATTCGGGGCACGCTGGTGCATGGGGACATTTTTGGGGAATGAAATAAAGGAGAATTTACTGTCATGACGTTATTGCCGAATAAACTGCCCACTGAGGAAATGTAAGAATGGCTCCGCCCCATACTGGGGGGCAGGACTGGAGGGGTTACAGATCTATCCAGGGCAAAGTTAGACACCCCCTCCCCGCCCCCCCAATCCTCCTCTCCTATAGGGAGCTGACAGCACACCACATTCTGGGCTCAGTGGTATCAGCCCTGCCCAACATTTTTTGCTAAACTACTTAAAACCTCCCCCCATACAAATACCATGGGGTCTTGTAGATTCCGCAGAGGGCGGGCACAGGACAGCCCTGAATTGCTGCCGGAATCGGCTCCCATTATTATCATAGCCACCTATGGAGCAGATGGGACAAAACCAGGGGCGGACTAACCATTGGGGAACTCCGGCACTGCCCGAGGGCCCGGGGTCAGTAGGGGGCCCCATGAGATGTTCCTGGTACCCAGGGGCGGACTGACCATTTGGAAACTCGGCACTGCCCGAGGGCCCGGGGTCAGTCGGGGGCCCCATGAGATGCTCCTGGTACCTTTTTCATAGGCTTTTTTGAGTTTGGGCAAGGACACAGGGGCCCCATGATCCCCTATTGCCCGGGGTCCCCATGAGTTGTCAGTCCGCCCCTGCTGGTACCTTTCATAGACTTTTTTCGGTGTGGTTTGAGTGTGGGAGAGGACACAGGGGCCCCATGATCCCCTATTGCCCGGGGGCCCCATGAGTTGTCAGTCCACCCCTGGACAAAACACTTGTAGTGGGCTATGTAACCAGAAGGGGGCAGATATGAGGCATTCACCCTCTACTGACAAGGAAATGACCTGTACAGCTCCCTTCCACCGCCCGTGACTGAGCTCCGAGGACAGTTCCACGGACCTCATCCCATATTATACTCGGTGTGACATGGGAGGAGCCCGGGGCGGGGCACAGAGCAGCTCTCCCAGGTATTTGGTGTCCGCTGTGGGCGGGGTGGGTTCGCCATCTTGTTGTAGCCCGGACACTAGAGGTCCCGATGTAAGTGGAGTGGTTTCCATGGTGACGGACGGAGCGTCCTGAGGAGACATGAGCCGAACCGAGGGGAGCCAGCACCGAGAAGAGGCCATGAGCGCCGCCCAATACTACCGGGGACTGAACATACCGGAGAGGGTGGAGGAGGCCCTGAACATAGGGTACCGGCTTAATCCGCCCGACCTGCCCGGGTACCTGGTATGTACCCAGCTATATACATACCCCGCCTCTATACATACTGTACACCCCACTATATAGCCCTCTCCCTCAGGCCCGGACTGGGACAGAAAGTAGCCCCGGGCTTTTTGGACTGATCAGCCCCAAGCCTGGGGTCTCTTTCCTCTGAGTCCGGTGGTGGAACGCCAGGGCCCGTCACAAGAGCGATCTTTGTGTGTGACCCTGCTAGTTCCGCCATTAGTGGTGGTAGGTTTTTAATTCTTTACAATTTTATATTCTGTATTTTTTTTTTTTTTTTTTTACATTTTTTTTTTTGTAGGCGAGGAAGGAGAGAAGGAAAAGGGAGAAAGGAGGGAAAGCAAGATGGAAAGTAAGAGAGACAGGAAGGAAGGGGGGGGGGGGGGAAGGAAGGAGGGAAAGAAAGCTAGAGGAAGGAAGGAAGGAGAGAAGGAAAGGGGGGAAGGAGAAGAAAGAGAGAGAGAGAGGCATGAAAAAATGAAGGAATGAGGGAAAGAAAGGAGAGAGGAAGAGAGGGGGGAAAGGAAGGAGAGAGAGGGAGGAAAGAAGAAAAGGGGGAAAGAAAGGAGAGAAGGAAGTGGGGGAAGAGAAGGAAGGGGGTGGGGAAAGGAAATGGAAGGGGGGAAGGGAGGGAGAGAAAGCAAGATGGGAAGAGAGAGAGAGGGGAGGGAAGGAAAGAGAGGAAGGAAGGAAAAAAGGAAGGAGGGATGGAAAGAAAGATAAAAAGAGAGGAAGGAGAGAAGGAAGGGGGAGAGATGGAAGGAAAGAGAGAATGGGGGAAAGGGATGGAAGGGGGGAAAAAGAACGAAAAATAGAGAGGAATAAAGGCGGGGAAAAAGAAGGAAGGGAAATTAAGAAGAAGAGAGAGAGAAGGGAAAGAAGGGGGGTAAGAAAGAAAGGAGGGAAACAGGAAGAGAAAGAAAGGAGGAGAAAAAGAAAGATGGAAAAAAAGAGTGGAAGGAAGGAGGGAAAGAAAGAAGGAGAGAAGGAAGGGGGGAAAGAAAGAGAGTGGGGAAAGAAAGGAGGGAAAGAGAATGTGAGAGGTATATAAAGAAGGAAAAAAGGGAGGGAGGGAAAGAGAGAGAGGTAGGAAGGAGGGAAAGAAAGAAGGTAGGATTTAAAGAGAAGGAATGGGGGAAAGCGAATTAAGGCTGGAGGGAAAGAAAGAAGGAGGGAGAGAAAGAACGAGGGAGAGAAGAAAGGGGGGAAAGGAAAGAAGGAAAGAGTGAGAGGAAGGAAGGCGGGAAAGAAGGCAAGAAGGAAGGAGGGAAAAGAATAAGGAAGGGGGGAGAGAAATAAGGAATGGGGGAAAGAAAGGAGGGAAAGAGAGAGAGAGGTATAGAAAGAAGGAAGGAAGGAGACAAAGAAAGAGAAGTATAGAAAGAAAGAAGGCTGAAGGCTGCCGGGGAGTGTGAGCGGGGCAGACACAGGAGGAGAGGGTGGGAGGAGGTGGGGCAGAACCAGCTTTCTCTCTCCTCTCTGATCTGTGGTGGGCGGGGAACTGTCAGCACTGGGGACAGTCTATCCTGACAGATCCCCCGCAGCAGCTACAGGGCGGGGGGGGGGGGGGGGGGGGGACCTGACAGCAGCACCGCAGGAGATGAGGGGGGCTGGCCGCAGGGAGAGCATATAGGAGTCCAGGGCAGCAGGAGATGGTTAGGAGGGGCGGCTGGGCACATAGAGGAACCGAGAAATTCACAGTCCAGTTCCTCTATGGGCCGCCCCTCCTATCCAAGTGGCCCGGTGTGCCCTATGGCTGGTCCGGGCCTACTCTCCCCTCATATACCCCACTATATACTCCCCTTCCCCTATATATACCACTATAAGTGCCTTGAAAAAGTATTCGTACCACTTGAAATATTCCACATTCTGTCATGTTACAACCAAAACGTAAATGTATTTTATTGGGATTTTATGTGATAGACCAACACAAAGTGGCACATAATTGTGAAGTGGAAGAAAAATGATAAATGGTTTTCAGATTTTATTTTACAAGTATCTGAAAGTTTGTTGTGCATTTGCATTCAGCCCCCTTTACTCTGATACCCTTAACTAAAATCTAGTGGAACCAACTGCCTTCAGAAGTCACCTAATTAGTAAATACGTCCACCTGTGTGTAATTTAATCTCAATATAAATACAGCTGTTCTGTGAAGCCCTCAGAGGTTTGTTAGAGAACATTAGTGAACAAACAGCATCATGAAGGCCAAGGAACACATCAGACAGGTCAGGGATAAAGTTGTGGAGAAGTTTAAAGCACGATTAGGTTATAAAAAAAAAAAAAAAATCTCCCAAGCTTTGAACATCTCACAGAGCACTGTTCAATCCATCATCTGAAAATGGAAAGAGTATGGCACAACTGCAAACCTACCAAGACATGGCCGTCCACCTAAACGGACAGGCCGGGCAAGAAGAGCATTAATCAGAGAAGCAGCCAAGAGGTCCATGGGAACTCTGGAGGAGTTGCAGAGATCCACAGCTCAGGTGGGAGAATCTGTCCACAGGACAACTATTAGTCATGCACTCCACAGATCTGGCCTTTATGGAAGAGTGACAAGAAGAAAGCCATTGTTGAAAGAAAGCCATAAGTCCCGTTTGCAGTTTGCGAGAAGCCATGTGGGGGACACAGCGAACATGTGGAAGAAGGTGCTCTGGTCAGATGAGACCAAAATTGTACTTTTTGGCCTAAAAGCAAAACGCTATGTGTGGCAGAAAACGAACACTGCACATCACCCTGAACACACCATCCCCACTGTGAAACGTGGTGGTAGCATCATGATGTGGGGATGTTTTTCTTTAGCAAGGACAGGGAAGATGGTCAGAGTTGATGGGAAGATGGATGGAGCCAAATACAGGGCAATCTTAGAAGAAAACCTGTTAGAGTCTGCAAGAGACTTGAGACTGGGGCGGAGGTTCACCTTCCAGCAGGACAACAACCCAAAACATCCAGCCAGAGCTACAATGGAATGGTTTAGATCAGGGGTCTACAAACTTTCTAAACAAAGGGCCAGTTTATTGTCCTTCAGACTTTTAAGAGGGCTGGATTGTTACCATTGGCAGTAGAAAATGCTCCAGTGTCAGTGGGAGTAAAAAAAATTACATAGCTCCTGTGATCAGTAGAAAGTGGAATCATGCCCCATCATTGATGTTAGAGGTCAATAACCTTCCATAGGTGCATGTAGCATCCTAGCCACTGGCAGATTAATATGCAGAATGATATCCTGAATGTCCAGACATCAAATATGACATATCTTACCGTTCCAGAAAAAATTTATATGGCTTTCTACTCTCTTGTAGATGCCACCCAGGGCTGTAAGGTATCAGGTGACCGGTTTAAAAATGAACTATATGAATATATGCTTTGTTTTATTGTACCTTGTCCCTGCCCGGGATTTATGAAATTGTATGAAAAAGTGGTTTCAAGAGGGATGTATGTTTTACTGCCATGTCCAGTGACTGACGGATTTATAGCTTTATGACCAGGCCAAGGCAAGGGTCTGACAGACATCATGGAACCAGCTAATTGGGTTTACAACCATGAAGTGTATCCAGCTGTGCCTGATGCACTTGTGACCCCAGCATACACACACACCACATGCCATTCATAAAAAAGGTAGGGGGACTGATTTGGAGTGAGAATGACATTTGCAGAGTATGATCCAAATTATGGTTGTCATTGTCCATATCTGTGCGCACAATTATCACATGCAGCATCCCCCCCAGCCCACCTAATACTCGCCCAAGCCCCCCCTTGATTCAGCGATGTGCACTGGAGTCTCAGCTTTCCTGGGACTCCGTCTCCTCATTGGCTGAGACAGCAGCGGGAGCCATTGGCTCCCACTGCTGTCAATCACAGCCATTGAGCCAATGAGAAGAGGGAGGGGGCAGCGCCAAGCCAGGGCTCCGTGTGTGAATGGACACATGGAGCAGCAGTTGCCCCCTAGCAAGCTGCTTGCTGTGGGGGCAGCCAACAGGAGGTGATGGTCCAGGAGCGGCTGTGGGGGACCCAAGAAGAGGAGGATATGGACTGCTCTGTGCAAAACCACTGCACAGAACAGGTAAGTGCGGTGTGTTTAAAATCCAAGGTGTTGCACTTCACTACCAATAATGATGATATGAAATATATAAAAATGCATACAGTCAGGTCCATAAATATTGGGAAATCGACACAATTCTAACATTTTTGGCTCTATACACCACCACAATGGATTTGAAATGAAACGAACAAGATGTGCTTTAACTGCAGACTGTCACCTTTAATTTGAGGACATTTACATCCAAATCAGGTGAACAGTGTAGGAATTACAACAGTTTGCATATGTGCTTCCCACTTGTTAAGGGACCAAAAGTAATGGGACAGAATAATCATAATCATAAATCAAACTTTCACTTTTTAATACTTGGTTGCAAATCCTTTGCAGTCAATTACAGCCTGAAGTCTGGAACGCATAGACATCACCAGACGCTGGGTTTCATCCCTGGTGATGCTCTGCCAGGCCTCTACTGCAACTGTCTTCAGTTCCTGCTTGTTCTTGGGGCATTTTCCCTTCAATTTTGTCTTCAGCAAGTGAAATGCATGCTCAATCGGATTCAGGTCAGGTGATTGACTTGGCCATTGCATAACATTCCACTTCTTTCCCTTAAAAAACTCTTTGGTTGCTTTTGCAGTATGCTTTGGGTCATTGTCCATCTGCACTGTGAAGCGGCGTCCAATGAGTTCTGAAGCATTTGGCTGAATATGAGCTGATAATATTGCCCGAAACACTTCAGAATTCATCCTGCTGCTTTTGTCAGCAGTCACATCATCAATAAATACAAGAGAACCAGTTCCATTGGCAGCCATACATGCCCACGCCATGACACTACCACCACCATGCTTCACTGATGAGGTGGTATGCTTAGGATCATGAGCAGTTCCTTTCCTTCTCCATACTCTTCTCTTCCCATCACTCTGGTACAAGTTGATCTCGGTCTCATCTGTCCATAGGATGTTTTTCCAGATCTGTGAAGGCTTTTTTAGATGTCGTTTGGAAAACTCTAATCTGGCCTTCCTGTTTTTGAGGCTCCCAATGGTTTACATCTTGTGGTGAACCCGCTGTATTCACTCTGGTGTAGTCTTCTCTTGATTGTTGACTTTGACACACATACACCTACCTCCTGGAGAGTGTTCTTGATCTGGCCAACTGTTGTGGAAGGGTGTTTTCTTCACCAGGGAAAGAATTCTTCGGTGATCCACCACAGTTGTTTTCTGTGGTCTTCCGGGTCTTTTGGTGTTGCTGAGCTCACCGATGCGTTCCTTCTTTTTAAGAATGTTCCAAACCCGTTGTTTTGGCCACACCTAATGTTTTTGCTATCTCTCTGATGGGTTTGTTTTGTTTTTTCAGCCTAATGATGGCTTGCTTCACTGATAGTGACAGCTCTTTGGATCTCATCTTGAGAGTTGACAGCAACAGATTCCAAATGCAAATAGCACACTTGAAATGAACTCTGGACCTTTTATCTGCTCATTGTAATTGGGATAATGAGGGAATAACACACACCTGGCCATGGAACAGCTGAGAAGCCAATTGTCCCATTACGTTTGGTCCCTTAACAAGTGGGAGGCACATATGCAAACTGTTGTAATTCCTACACCGTTCACCTGATTTGGATGTAAATACCCTCAAATTAAAGCTGACAGTCTGCAGTTAAAGCACATCAAGTTCGTTTCATTTCAAATCCATTGTGGTGGTGTATAGAGCCAAAAATGTTAGAATTGTGTCCATGTCCCAATATTTATGGACCTGACTGTAGATTAAAAAAAAAAAATTATATATAATATATGAATTAAATTAATTAAAATTAAGGGAATAAGTCCAACTTTAATTCAGCAGTGTGATGTTACAATCATGCTGGTGCTGCATGCATGTCTTTGAATAATCTGTGATTTTGATGTATCTAATACAAGATAAATAACGTATAGTCCGCCAATCTTAACCCCTTGACGCCAATCGCCAACAAATATGCAGCCTCTTGGCATCTGGGCCTTGACGCCGAGCGGGCCGCATATTTGCGTGCAATAATAAAAATACATATGTGCTGAGAGCGCGCACCCTGCATGCTCCCAGCACATATGTCCACTACTCCCAGAATGGTCACGATCTCCCCTTTCGATCAGGACCTTTTTCGATCATGTGGCCGCCGTGACTGCGAATCATGGCGGTCACATGACCTTAAAACCTCGCCCCGCCTCTGGCTTCTGAAACTCTTAAAGGGCCAGGAGGCGCTGGCGCCAAGAGGTTAAATAGTGTGCTCCTTCACCGGATGTGCTCTCACCTTACGTATATGACAAACCGTTAAGTGAGGCCATAAAAGCTTGTTTCCCTTTAATTGGACTCTGTGAACTTCTTCAGTGAAAAGGGTATGGAGGCACCACAATTCCTTTCACAGATATTTCTGCTCCTTAACTTCTGCCACTAAAGAAAACTCTATTGGGCGTGGCTGATTTTTAAATGGGCGTGGCTGCTTTTTAAATGGAAGTGGCATTGTTCTAAACCAAAGCTCCGATGTGGTGAAACAAAAATATTGTTGTTCTGAAGTTAAGGAGCAGAAAAATTTGTGAAAGAAATTGTGGTGCCTCCATACCCTTTTCACTGAAGAAGTTCAGAGTCCAATTAAAGGGACACAAGCTTTTATGACCTCACTTAACGGTTTGTCATATACGTCAGGTGAGAGCACATCCGGTGAAGGAGCACAATATCTAAGATTGGTGGACTATACGTTCTTTATCTTGTATTACACCACTAGAGGACACATCACAATCACGGATTATTCAAAGACATGCATGCAGCACCAGCATGATTGTAACATCACACTGCTGAATTAATGTTGGATTTATTCACTTAATTTTCATTCATTTATTTAATTTAATTCATATATTTTTTTTTTTTTTTTCATCTATGAATATTTATATATTTCATATGATTATTGGTAGTGAAGCGCAACACCTTGGTTTTTGATGTATTTACAGTGGCACATTAGTCTGAGTGTGTATAGTGTAGAGACGACCCACTCATTTATTTAATATTTCACACACCAGCTTATTTGAATTTCATTTAATTTATAGCATTTATTTCAGCCATCTTTATTCAATTTTATTTCCATTTCCTATCAAACACTTGGTGAAATTTCATTAACCAATTGGTTTTTTATATATCCACTTTATTTCTTTTTTACTTATAGTATACACCATAGTAGCTCACAACAATCATGTTTATTAAATACGGTGTTTTTGTTATATTTTGTTTTTTTAAATTTAAGCCTTTAATATCACTTTAACCTCCTTGGCACCGGCCGCACGCAAATGTGCGGCCTCCCGGCGTCCCCACACATTTGCATGCAATTAAGAAAAACATATGTGCTGAGAACGCGCGCCCTGCTCAATCCCAGCACACATGTCCGGGACTCACAGAAAGGTCCCGATCTCTTGCGATCAAGACCTTTTCCATACCTGTGATAGCGAATCACTGCGGTCACATGACCCTAAAACCCTGCCTCACCTCCTGGCTTCTGAAACCCTTAAAGGGTCGGGAGGCGCCGGCGCCAAGGGGTAGTTCACATTAGCTGCAGTTCAGTGCGCTTTTTTTCTGCATCAAAAATGCATGCACAGTGTTTTCCATGTATTCCAATGACCCTAGTTCACACCAGTGCAGTCAGCTCCAGTCAGTTTCTGGGGCAGAAAAAAAAAAGTAGAACATGCTGCATTTTTTCTGCACAGAACCATACTGGAACATGGCAAACTGCATCAAAATTGCTCTGGAACTGCGTGTGGTGTGAGCTGTGAACACAAACGTATCCGGAGTGCATTTTTGTAGTGTGAACTGGCCCTAAGTCTGGGCTCTGACTAGGCCATGCCTTTCAACCACTGTGGGGTCATTGTTGCTGTGTGCTTTGGTTCATTGTCATGTTGGAAGGTAAAACTTCTTCCCATTGACAACTTTCTGGCAGAGGACAGCAGATTTTGCTCAGGAATTTTGCCCCATCCATTTTTCCTTTTATCCTGGCAAGTGCTCCAGTCCTTGCTGCAGACCCCCCCCCCCCCCCCCCCCCCCCCCCATAACAGGATATTCCTCCCCCCATGCTTTATTGTAAGAATGGTGGTATTTGGATGGTGACCTGGATTGGATATCTGCCAGACATATCATTTAGTGTTGAGGACAAATCATTCAATTTTACTCTCATCTGACCAGAACACCTTTCTCCATGCGGACTCACAATCTTCAAGGTGCGTTGTGGCAAAGCTCAGTCGTGTCTGCATGTGGCTTTTCTTGAGGAGCTGCTCTTTTCTTGCACCCCTCCCAGACACACCACATTTGTGGAGGATTTGTGATATTGTTGTCACACGCACACAATGACCCCTCTCTGTCATCAATTCCTGACACCGCTTCAGGGTTGCTGTAGGATTTTTGGTAGCCTCTCTGACCAGTTTCCTCCTGGCTCTTTCATCCAGTTTGGAGCGACATCCTGATCCAGGGAGGGTCTGTGTTGTACCAAATACCTTCCAGTTCATATTAGTAGACTTCACTCTTCTAGGTGTTGATAAAGCTTTTGAAATATTTTTGTATCCATCTCCTGACTTGTGCCTGTCCACAATATTATCCGTGAGATCTTTTAACAATGCCTTGCCACCCATAGTTGATTGTTTGCTTTAGTTGCACTACCAGGGACTGAAATGTTCCAGGAAAGCTCTTTTCATGCTGAACCAATCAAAATGACCAAAGTTTTTTTTTTTTTTTTTTTTTTTTACATGTTGGTGTTATATCTTTCACTTGTTATAAGTTGCATAAATACAGCTGAATAAAACAAAAACTGTGTCTGTCTTCATTTCAGGGTTCAAAGCACAAAATGTGATTATTTTTAAGGGGTGGTTATTCTTTTCTATACCCACTGTATACCCCCCTTCACCATATACCCCACTATATATCCCCCTCCAGGGCTGGGACAAGGGTTGGGCAGGAGGGGCAGGTGCCCTGGGTGCTGTGGAGGGCGCTGCGTGGAGAGAGTCTGCCTACAAGCTGTCAGGATTGCTGGAAGAGAGGGGAATTTACGTCTTGCAGAGGGAGTTTATGCTTGGGGGGTAAGTGTACAGATTAGTGCACTAAATTTTTTTGAGGGGGGTGGGGGGATTTTTGCTGACACATAATGTCCCAACATTGTTTTTTTTTTTTTTTTTTTTTGAGGGGGCGGGGAGGCGCTGTTTGGCATCTTTACCCTGGGTGCTAGATGATCTTGTCCCAGCACTGCCCCCCTCCACCATATACCCCTTTTTTTATACCCCCTCCTCCTAATGAACGGAACATGCAGATATTCAGTAGAGGGTAGAGCTAATCAGAGGAAGTTGGAGATATTTATTTTAGGGCGAAGATAATTGTACTGTATTCCTTCTCATTCCTCTTCTCACTCTTCTTCAGTCTAACTACTTTGCCGAGCTGTCGAAACCTCCGGTGATCAGCCATGTCCGTGGAAGGAAAATTCTGGGTGGAGCAGGAAATGCGGCCCTAGAGGTTGAAGTGTTCTGCACAGTGAGGAACAATGACAAGGTACCCCATACCCTGTATAGTGTATAAGTGTTTTGTTCTGTCAAATAAGCGCAAAGTTCACATGTTGATCCTGCCAGAACTCCAGTGAGCTGTTAGCTTCCTGTTCGGACTGTTATCAGTTACAATGTTCCCAGATATTTTTACACGCCGCTCCCTCCCCAGTTTTATGGAGAAGAGGAGAGGGGAGGAGTTCTGTGGTCTTCCCTTAGGGTGACAACACTACTCCCCTTTAAACACAGTACAGAGAGTGAGCCTTGTCACCCTAAGACAGAAAGTGTGTTACTGGCAGGATCATCACATAAAGAAAAGAAAAAGCGTAAAAAAAAAGGAAACAAATGCAGCCATCACATCTAGTGGAAAGCTGCAATATATGACATGTTTCTAAAATATGGATTTAGAATCACTTTAACCTCCTCGCGCAGGCGCCTCTCAGCCCTTTAAGAGTTTCAGAAGCCGGGAGGCGGGCAGGGTTTTTTAGGGTCACGTGACCGCCGTGATTCGCCATCACGGTGGTCACATGTTCGGAAAAGGTCCCGATCGAAAGGAGAGATCGGGACCTTTCCGTGAGTCACGGACATATGGCAGGGGCCCAGATGTCGAGAGGCAGCATATTTGAGTGTCCTCAGAGTCGAGGGGTTAAAGGAGAACTCCAGGCATCAAAGTTATCAATTCATGAAACATGGTCTATGAATAGAGGGGGTAGACCTATCAATCATCCGCCTATTCTCCGTTCATAAATCACTTTCCATTCCTAGAGGCTGTAGCACGGATTTTATGAATGGCAGAGCTGTGTGGAAAGGGATCTTGCAGAGAGCCTCTGACAGCCTCTTAGTTCTCTTCTCCATTGCCACACCAGTAGGCGGCAGGAATGGGAGGGGCATGGATAGAGGAAGATTTCACCTAAAAGAAGGGACATCAGCACAAGGGATAAATATTACTGACTGTAAGTTTTTTTGTTTTTTTTTATCTCCCTTTTGCTGATTTTTGTTTAGACTGCAAGTTAACAAGCAGAAATATATACACCAATTTTGGAAATATTAGTAAAACTGGCAATTGCAGAAAAAAAATGGCGAATAAAACACTTCCCACCTCCCTTCATTGGAGAAAAGTGTTTTCTGGGCTTAAGTGGAGTTAAAGTATAACTGAAGGCAAAATTTTTTTTTTTTGTACTTTTTGGATAGTGTGGAGAGGGATTAGAACACCTATCAGTTTTTATTGCTGTCTGTGCCCCTGTTGGGGAGATTCATCCTCTCTGTGTCCTGTATACCATTATTATGTGAAAGAAAAAAAGAATCCCAAGTTTTGGGTTCATCGGAACGCTAAAGGAGGGGAAATCTTCCTATGGGGACACTAGTTCTGGTGACACACCAGGATTCCCTCAATTTGGAGGGAATTCCTCTCACTTCCTATTTTGGCTATGGGACAGGAAGTGAAGGGAAATCTCCCCAATGGGACACAGATGGCAAAAAACGGACAGGGGTATATAACACTCCCTTTACTCTCTCCAAAATGAAAAAAAATTGCCTTTAGTTATACTTTACCTGTAAACTGATGAGCCGTAAAGGCATTTAAAGTGTTGCCTATTGATAATTTGGGGCAATGTAATTTTTCGCCATTCTATTGGCACACTCAGTTTTTGAGGATCAACTTATTTGTATCTATTTACTCATCAAAAAATGGTGGATTGTATTGCGTTTCTGTGCACTAAAATTCATGTAATGCAAATTTTGCTAAACTTATAGATTTGATAAACTTCTGCTAATATCATGCTGTCTGCGCCCCTTTTAGGGAGATTCACCCTCTCTATTTGTACTGCTTATCCATTATCATTGAAAGTAAAAGAAAATCATCTTGGGTTGCCCAGGAGGGGGAATCTTCCTACTGGGACACTCGTTGTGGTGACCGGGAAGAAGGGGGGGGGGGGGGGCTAAGGGATCCCAATAATTTGCAGGGATTTCATTTCACTTCCTGTTTATGGGACAGGAATAGAAGGAAATCTTTGAAATGGACACAGATGGCAAAAAAAAATCTGACTGTTTATAATAACCCTCCCTTGCTCTATCCAACATGAAAAAATGCCTATTGTTCTACTTTAATTCCCTTGGTGATATATTCAGGGGGGATTATGTGGTTGGATGTGGACACAGACAATATAAATACAGAGGACCCGGTGCATTGGCACTCTGCCTAATCCATAAATCAGCACAGCCAATGGTGGATCAGCTGCTGGTTTGACAAAAAGCATGGAGCATCTGAGATTAATGAGCTGAAATATCTTCAGTCTTTTTTGGGCTGAGGGGTGATGGAGTAGTGCATGCCTTTATTCAGGATCCATACAATCTAAGGCCTCTTGCACACTGTACTGATATTTGAGCATCGGCATTTGTGAACGTAAGTTCAGGCATCTGTTTTGCATGTATTTGCTCATATGCACGTTTACTCGTACAATACACCCCTATGCAACATCCATTAGAAGTTATGTGCGTAGTTGTGTGCATATGCGTGTGCTGGAGCAAAATGCTAGCAAGGAACACAGATTTTTCTACAGTTTTTTTTTTTACTCAAGAATGCCTAGTGCTTGTATACACACCTGTGTGTACAGGCACATGGGCTGCATTTTAGATCCGTTTAAAAAAAAAAAAAAAAAAAAAGCCTAATTGTAGAACCACTTGTGAGGTTAGAAATATGGAGGACATCACTGCTGACTCATTTTGGAGGGTGTTGTGGGCTGTCACTTCATCCTGGCTGACCTGGAACAAGCATGCAGACAGGAAAGCCTAAAAAGTCTGTTCTACATGTTTTGTTCCTGGTCAGTGGGCAGAGAAGATAGGATGAACATGTTGACCCCTGAGCCATTACCTACAAGGAGACCGGAATGAGTAAAGAGGCCAAAGAGGTTCTCGAAAGGGAACAACCCCGTAACCTGCTGATACTGTGACCACACTCCTCTGCTGTTTGTGCTTACCTTGTACTTCTGGGTATGAGGGAGCATGTCACCTCCACTTGGGATGCAACGTTTGGGCATAGACAGCTAATTGCTAGACCTGAATACTGTGATGTTAGAAGGGACCATAATTATTATCCCTGTGTAAGCTTCAACACCATTCAACACAAGGTTAGGCTCTGGGAAGGTAATTATCAGTAGATGGGGGTTTGTCTTCAAGATTACCTATCACTTTGCTCCCAATAGGCTTTTACAAAATATTCAGCAGTGACAACTCCAGTGTTTGTTCCCTTACAGGTCCCCCTTAGACAAAGAAGGACCCACCAAATACACACACCATACATGGTGGTGGCCATGAGGCATCTGAAGATGTGAATATTTTGGGGCCCACCATTGTCAGGTGTCCATGACTTTTGCTCTATATTGTCCTTCCATCTCATGGCTAAATAGCACTTCCGATCACCCAGTTTGGCCAGTGGCAACTCTGCTTCCACTTGGGCTCCTAGATACTGAATGGAAGGCTGTGGTGGCCCCATCCTCCACAGATAGGTGGATTAAACGTGGGAAATCATTTCATTTTTATTTCCTAAGATGAGCAGCTGTTCTTTCTGTTCTTTGTACAATGCCTGAAGTGGTTGGGGTGGAAACCTCTGATCTGTCTGTTCATTGTTCTATAGAAATTATCACACCTTTGTTTCCATCCTGGATTCAGAGTGTGACAACAGCATAGGGTGACATTGAAGTTATTAGCACTCTCCCTTTGTTAACGTTTCCAGATCTGATGAAACAATGAGCAAATTTCCTTTGTGACTTCTCTTCCTTTAATACACAGAACACAGTGACACAAAACGACATTTTATCTGTCAGTAGCAAAAAACAGTGAGATGAAAGCACAAGGCCATCTGAGTAAAGGGTTCCACCGTCATATCCAGATGTCTTCTATATTCTAATCAACAAAGCCACTCCCTTGAGAGATGCGTGTGCCACCTGGAAAGCACAAAATATTACTCTGGCCCCGCGTTCAAGGCCTTACAATCTATTCTGCATTGGATATGATCATTTTAGTTGATCAAAACAGCCAATTGATATGTTATAGTAGATTGCCTGCATTGATGTAATCACTTTCAATGACAAAATATGATAAACAGTCATGTGAATTGATTATTTGGCTTGTTTGATAAGAAATGACTTGATTTTTTTCACCTTCAATCTGTGACAGCTTAGAGCAGCCTTTTTTGGGGGGTGGGGGGTGAGTAATGAGCAGTGTTGGACTGATGGTGCCTGCATACCTCCAGCATCATTGCATGGAGGAGTCGGTGACATAGGACCAGTATAGCCTTTCCTCTCATCCCTCAAGCAGATGTAGAACTCACCCCTGAAAGGGCCCACTGTTGTGCCACGGGTTCTTTTCCGAGATCAGTGCAGGGGCAGACAGGCATACAGCACAGCCACTCACTTTGGCTCGAAGATGAGTCTAGGGGGTAATTATTGCTGAATAAACTTGGATTGGGTTGCAGGGAGCTGTGGGATACTCCAGTAACATGGTACAGTAACACGAGGATACTCTTCACTCGTTACTACTTCTTAGCACAGTCCCTCTAGGTAGGGAATTGACCGTAGCAGGATGCTATAAGGATTGTCCAGTCCAAGCAGGCACTGGTGCACAAGGGATAGTAACAGCAAACCGACACTGGGATCCTAGACTCAGGTCTGTACTCACAATGTCCCTGGATACTTGGATGCCTCCTTCCAATATCAGCCATTCACCTGTGAGTTCTTCAGAACAAACTCCCAGTAAGACCTCCTTGATTAGCTCCAGATGCTCTGGAAAAAAAAAAGTAGGCTTCCATCCAGTATCCACGGTAGGGTGGCCTTGCCTTTTGTGAGCAGCCTAACCTGACCCAGTGGGCTCCTCCAATGTTGTTTGCCCTCTCACTACCTTGTTTAAACTCATAGCACAGTTCCAGCGCCTCTTGGATGCCCTTTTTTTCATTGGACCCCACCCAGCTATGACTTAGCTGGGACATCGATAAGCTCCTGTGAGAACTTCAGCTGA